GTGTCATCGGCATACATGGAGCACACGCTTGACACTACTTCTGGTAGATCGCTTATAAAAGCGACAAACAAAACAGGCCCAAGAACGCTTCCTTGCGGTACGCCACTGCACACAGTTACCCAGTCTGATACGGTTCCGTTAATGCTGACACGTTGTCTTCTGTCTACTAGAAAATTCCTGATCCATTGGAGTACTGGAACAGCCTCCCTGATTACATCGTTCCAGCTCCAAGTATGAACGCGTTCAAGAACAGACTAGTTGAAGCTATGAAAAAATATATGTTCAGACTTGAAATGCCTAGCACAATATCGAACCCGGTGGAAGTCTAGTAGCTATTTCAAGCTATCGTCAGTCCCGAAAAGATCCGGTCAAATGACACGATTTTAGATATTCTATGAACAAGTCACGAAAAGGAAAAGAACCGGCGACAGGCCACATGAGGCCTACACTTCAGCGCCGACATCATTATGTTATGTTATGTTAATTACTATCGTTGATTACATGGGATCACTGAACTCATCCTCTGGTTATACGATGCCTCATCTCATTATTCTTCATATATGAAGATGTGGGTTGTGACTGAAAGTACACTCTCACAGTTGTAAAACGAAGTTTAAACATTGTTTGTTACTGCGCACAGATGGTAAATAAATATCTATATAAGCATGAAAATTTTCATATTGTCTTTACAGTTACCAGTGGAGTTAGAGAAAATCTACTTAGTGATTGAATCCCATGGAAATCAGCCGAGCCCGGCTGAGATGCCTGAATAGGAGTCTTAAGGCCAGTAGCCTGTAATTCTGGAGTTTGTCTCAGCACCTCATTCGCAAGCTGCTATCATCAGACAAGCGTTTAGGTCATCAGGAATGATTCTCTCCCTCAACTGTACAATCATTCGTTCGGTGGTTTCTCGACCTTCCATGAATTAATTATCATTCTTAATTACTTCTATTTCTTTCTTGAGGCAATTATCATTTGTTCATTGGCTTCTTGATATTCCTTGAGTTAACTATTTTCGTTTCATTTTCAACATATTCATTTTCATTGCAGGAGATATTCTACTTGCAGAAAATGTTCTACTACTACAACAGAAAGGGACACTACTTTGGGACACTAGTGAGCCAAGATCACAACTATAAGGCATGTACAAATCACTTCAGGGAGTTGCAGGGCCTAACGATACCTCGGAGCATGATTGCGACTATAATTTTTGCCAGGGGTTGTATATATACAGCGTGTACTGATCACGGTAGTGGATTGCAAAGCTATACAATACCTCATGTAACCGTTTTTAGGTCTCCCAATGAACAACTGTACAGGAAATATTCCTCGTGTCATTTGACTCCTCCAAAGCTATTGTTTTTGATCACCATGTCTCTCCAAGAACATACCTTCATTTATATAATTTGTAAGCATTCTCACACTAAAGACGTTGTCCACCTAAAGTAAGATCTTCGGTCGTTTGGATGGTAGACATTCACCTTACTTATGGTAGAACCAAGGTTTTAATGTTAAATAACACAACATAATGATATCAAGTGTAATTAAGTCACTCAGAGCACAGTGCGTTCTCAAAACAAAACATCAAAGCAGCATCCAAAAATATTTGGATATAACGCGAGACAGTCGGAAATACTTCGCTCGCAACCCCAGCAAAGTTACGGCGGAAACTGACGTTTAGGGTGAAAATTGAGGGGAACTGATACCTACGCTAATAGCAGCGTGACTTGAGGGGAACTGACACATAAGCTGATGGCAGTGTCACTTAAGGGGAAATGATACTTACGCTGATAATGGGAACTTAACGGGAACTGGCACCTACACGTTTTTTTGACAGTCGAAGACAAAGAAACAATGTTATTCGCCTTGACCGCCTTCTTCGAGTTTGACGAGGAAGATGAATCCAATTTTCTTCCTCTTATTAGTCGATGAGCCTTTCAGGATGATGGTGAGCTCTCCCGTGAAAGAGGCCTCCTGCCCAGCATACACATTGCATTGATGAATGGAAGCAGGACTTTCACAAGTACCTCTCCGCAACATCTCCCACAAGCACCTTTATGCATACCCCACAAGTACCTCTATGCAGCACCCACAAGCACCTCTATGCAGCATCTCCCACAAGCACCTCCATGTATCACCCACAAGCACCTCTATGCATCTCCCACAAGCACCTCTATGCATCACTCACAAGCACCTCTGCATCACCCACAAGCACCTCTATACGTACACTTGCAGGACGTTGTCCTAACCGTACACTTGCAGGACGCTGTCCTAATCGCACGCTTGCAAGACGCTGTCCTAATCGAAAATAAATAATATTAACCAAATTACAAGAGAGCGAGACAATCCAGAACAGAACTAAAAAAATATTCGTTGATATAGTCAAAAAAACAATACAACAAACATCCCACTACACAACCAGGCACCGACCAACCAGGCTCAAATGACATTGATTGCTTTAACACTGGTAGCCCATATCGCCAGCCTCTTCCACCAGGAGGGTTTCCGTAGCGTTTTTCTAAATCATTAGAACCTCCCCTCCCCCCCAAAAAAGTCAGTGACGAACATTACAAATGTATATTTAATTTCAGTCTCAGGCACCGACTAATCGACACTAATTAAACTATTTGCCAGAACGCAACACTTGAAAGAAGGATATCGTCCTGCACGCAAGTTGGTAATCTTAATTAAACCCAATTTATTAAATTCGTATTTACTTAGGTATGAATTTAAATTTAAATGCATAGTTTATACAGCAACGGAAAGAGGAAGATTCCTTTTTCACATGCAGTAATTATGAATGTTCAATATGTCCCTTTGTGCTGCACGGCATACATCTAAACGGTAGCCAAACTCGTTCCTCACGCGAGAAAGCATACCTTCTGTTACTGACTGCACCGTAGCAGTGATACGGCTCTTCAGATCAAACAGAGTTGCTGGTAGAGGCGGGACGTAAACAGAGTTGCTGGTAGAGGCGGGACGTAAACAGAGTTGCTGGTAGAGGCGGGACGTAAACAGAGTTGCTGGTAGAGGCGGGACGTAAACAGAGTTGCTGGTAGAGGCGGGACGTAAACAGAGTTGCTGGTAGAGGCGGGACGTAAACAGAGTTGCTGGTAGAGGCGGGACGTAAACAGAGTTGCTGGTAGAGGCGGGACGTAAACAGAGTTGCTGGTAGAGGCGGGACGTAAACAGAGTTGCTGGTAGAGGCGGGACGTAAACAGAGTTGCTGGTAGAGGCGGGACGTAAACAGAGTTGCTGGTAGAGGCGGGACGTAAACAGAGTTGCTGGTAGAGGCGGGACGTAAACAGCTTCCTTGAAGTAACCCCATAAGAAATAGTCACATGGGGTGAGATCAGGTGATATCGGTGGCATGAAGTGTAGAGCCAGATCTTCATTTCTTATGCGTCCTACCCAACGCACGGCCGCTGCCACCGCTCAATTCCGCGTTTGAATAAATTAATTTTTCTCTTCCCGTTGATTCGTCATTTCGAATAAACCCTGAATTTCACATCGATTCAATAATACCTAATCCTGCATTACTCTAAGGTGACTGCTAGTAGGATCAATTGTTAGGTGGTACAAAAAACGAACCGTTAAGAGGGTCGGTATCACCAGTCTGGAAGTACTGCTGTTTGTAGTAGTATCCTGTGGGGATCAAATAAGGGCCGGCAATACATGCGCATAGGCTCGCCCTCGGCTTAGGTAACTCGTAACAGCGTGCATAGTAGAACCAGAAGCCAGCCACGTCTGCGAACAACAGTAATTTTAGCATGAGGCTTAAGCAATAGTCAAGACTCTTCCACTTCAATAACATTTGGTATTTGTTGTAGGTTAGGAATGTATGAATATGATTGCATGTGCGCGTAATTCATGGACAGAGCGGAATTAGAAAGATATTGCGGGATTACCTGCCAGTGCCACCTTTTTGGCGCAGTCCTCGAATTTCTCGACATTCGTGACATTAATTGGAGCGATTCTTTCGGGTTGAGCAGCACCGAAGGAATAAACGTACCGAAGAGCATCAACTTCGGATGTGTAAAAAGCAAGTTCATAGACCTGGAAGATAAATGGATATTTACATGTTCACTTATGAATATATGCACGTGTTCACTTGACATATATGATATATGATGCCTATAATGACTACAAACTGTTGGCAGTAAAAAAATCACGCAGCTCAGTGTTCGTGGGAACATTTCCTCAGAGCTAATGCGCTATGTTAGTTACAAATTCTCATTCATGAAAAAGTGGATTTTCGGTGGATAAATTTCAATGAAATATACGCGCAGTCGTATACAGTTGAGTTCTGAATATTGTGTGGAATGCATGACAGTTTTAACATAATGCATGTTATTCACAATTTGTTTACAATACTTAGAGTACCGAGGTGCCGTCTCACCACGGGAGCTCCCGAGGCGGAGGGCACCTCCAGGGTCCGGAAGATGCCCTTGGTTTGAGGTTGTCCGGCAGAGGGGCTTGCCCCACATGTCTTGTCTCCCGACCCCAAGTCAGGCGAGAGGGGCATCGGCTCCTGGTGTCGATGAGAGGAAGTCAAATGATCGTGGAATTTAATCAGCTTTCCCAAATTAAAAGCACCAGCTTCCATTTTTGTGCGGCCAATAAGACGTACAATTGTGCACTGAAAGAAATGTGCTCCTGGGACCTAGGAACGATGGGTGTTATGCTGGTTATGAAACAGCCTGAGGAACTAATAAATAGATAAAATTACTGTACGTCTTTCGAAAGTTCCTCTATATTGCAGAATATGTCGAAGTTGAAATAGGTGTGCGGGCTAGTCTACGACTCATTACCTGTAAGTCGCCTGTTATTACCTACAACGCACAATAAATCAACCAGCCTAGCTACTAAGATGAGTATTTTAAGGTGGGAGTTAATCGAGTTTCAGATTCTGATGCATACACTGGATATGTTGCATACATTCTGATGCATACGATGATATGTATCATATCATCGGTGTCAACTAACTCATCGGTGATGGTATTTAGAGACAGGAAAGACATTAGCCCTGAACACAATGCTTCATGACTAATAAAGCATGCAATTAATATCTCGTTAATAACTAGGCCTAAAACTTTATAGGCCATAAGAATAACTTGAGGCCCAAATTATTGGGAAAATTCTATCCTCGAGATTAAAATTTATCGACCGCACAAGTTCCGCACATTTCAAAAACAACAAAACTTTACGGCGCAAAAACTATGTAGATCAAAACATCGTATTTTCGATGCATCTTATAGCAAAAATTTTCGCAGCAGTTGATTTGACTTTCGTTTTGCATATGGGGTTATTGCATTCATGTGGGGTCACTGCATTCATCGCTTGTATATAGGGCCATTGCATTCATTGCATTCATATGGGGTCATTGCATTCATTGCATTCATATAGGGTCACTACATTCATCGCATTCATATGGGGTTATTGCATTCGGCAAAATACGCCGTGAAGCCAAGAGACAAAATCAGCGGTAATATTTCAGGGTACGTTGTACAGAAAAATACACAAAATATTATGAGAAATTTAGCAATTCTAAAGTAAGTTTTATTTCATTTCAACGCCCAAGCAAAGCATTGTAATAAGCAGCGGCTTCTGATGTTGCCGCAATTTGAACATTTGCAGACTCGGCCTCCGGACACCCGAGTGACGTGGCAGACGAAGAGACCGTCAGGGGACTACAGCCCTCGTGCTAAGAGGTGGACTTTTAGTGGGACTTCACTTGACTTTTAGGGGGATTTCACTTGACTTTTATGAGGACTTCACTTGACTTTTAGGAGGACTTCACTTGGTTTCTTCACGATTCTTAATGAGTCCGATTATATCCGCTGAGCTGATCTCAGACTCACCATTGATTGAGCGACCTGAAACAAGCAGAATTTTCATCCGGAATTACTTGACAACTTTTATAATATTGGCTTTTATGCTTTTATTCGCTGGTTGGAGCTGATACGGCTAGTTCAAGATTAATTTTTCGGCTCGAGAAGCCAGACAATGCAATGCTTAATATCGTCACTTAGACCGTCTCATATCACGCAATCAGTTAGATATTAAACAATGTTCTAAACGCGTCACTGGTTATCACTTCCCATTCTGCGTCAGAAAATTACACTAAATTTTAGATGTTAAGGAACTATAAGGAAAAATACTTCTGTAGACTACATTCTCAACCGCACAAATTATACAATTCTTCTTCTTTTTAAAATAATAAATATCTACCTGGCATAACATGACACTGTGAAATATATATAAATAGCAGGGTATAGTAATATTGTCAAGAAAGTGCTGACTAGCCCAAGTCTCTCATATGTGTGCTACCAAACTCCTGCTGAACTCAATATACATACGCGCAGGCGGCAAATATGTTCAACATATAAAGCCTTAAGCTGTGAGTTAAATTGTTGTACTCCAGGTAGCCGACATAACGTCAATACTTTATTATTGGTACAAAATTCCAGTTTAATCACAGAATTAAATGTGCTGCAAAAGTATGATAGGAAGCATGTTACTTGAGTTCAGTATCTTACTTAACTCTACACTGTTAGAAAAATTCCCGTTAACGGTAATACCGGCATTTCAGTGGCCGGCCGGCACGTGAAAAGAAACACCGTTTCACCGTTTTTATTCCAATTTAACACCAGAAATCCGCAAAACATCTGATAAAAACGGCGAAAGTTTATTTTCACGGGGCGACCGGCCACTAGGATGCCGATGGGACCGTTTTTTCTAAGTGATATCTGCCTGCCTTGAAAACTCATGCCTGCTAATTCACAGAAATCAGTCCAAAAATTACCAAGGAAAACACTTGCATTTGTTAAAAATATTGAAGATATAACTTATACTCGATGTTAATACATACGGTGAGACTGAAGCCCGCGCAGGCCAGCGACAGCGCGAGTACCACCAACGTCATCGTCAAGTTGTCGCTCGTTGCGGTCACTGGAAAAGATATGAGAAGCGTCCGTAGATTAGAGGTCTAGGAGTTAGGTTCAGCTTAATTAAGGAGGAGCGGCAGTTTTGGTAAAGAGTTGGCCAAGTAGGCGGGTTGTTTGTAAAGTCCATCCGAAGTGTGGACATGCATATTTTGCTGCAGAATGGCAGTCGCAACGAAGGAGTGGCGTTGAACAAAATGCGTTCAATGAGCAGACAGTAGCTGCTTGATCAGCACCAGGCGCCCGAAATTGAAGGTTAGGAGAGCAAAAGAGATTTCTCAGTATGGATCGTCTGATCTGATAATACTAGCCGACATTGCTAATACTTCAAATTTGACAAGCAACATCAAGTTAATTACTATAATAATATGCATTTAAAAATTTGCTTCTTTGCTTCTTGTTGCTTTAAAAGTCAACAAGGTTTAAAGTGAGTAGTGTCTCCGATGTTACACATGTAAAATGAATTTCTTACTTTATTTTACTTATTGAAAAAATTGATTTTAAAAATCTTTTTACAACACTTCTCTTTAACTTCACTTCTTGTTTGTTTGTCTGTCTGCTATAAATCTTATAATCGATATTTAACACACTTCTACCAGTCCAATCGATCTGAAATTTTGCAAACTTGCGTAAAGTTGGAGACAATGCATGAATCAATTGACAGAATAAATAATTTTGAATATGATGAAAACTCTATTTATGATATAAAAAAAATAATAATTTTGTCTGATACATGTCTTATAATCAATATTTAACACACTTATATCTGTCCAATCGATCTTAAATTTTGCACACTTACGTAAAGTTGGAGACAATGCATGAATCAATTGACATAATAATATTGTCAAGAAAGTGCTGACTAGCCCAAGTCTCTCATATGTGTGCTACCAAACTCCTGCTGAACTCAATGTACATACGCGAAGGCGGCTGAAATGTTTAACAAATCAGGCCTTGAGCTGTGAATTAAATTGTTGCACTCCAGGTACCTGACGTAACATCAACACTTTATTATTAGTACAAAATTCCAGTTTGCTCACAGAATTAAATGTAATGCAAAAGTATGATATAGAAGCATGGTACTCAAGTTCAGTATCTTACTTAACTCTATCTGCCGGCCTTGAAAATTCACGCCTGCCTCTTCACAGAAATCAGTCCAAAAATTACCAAAGAAAACACTTGCATTTGTTCAAAATATTGAAGGTATAACTTATACTCGATGTTAATGTGGAACAGCCTCCCTGATAGCATCGTTGACGCTCCGAGTATGAACATCTTCAAAAACAGACTAGACGAAGCTATGCAGGAGCATATGTTCAGTCTTAAAATGCCTAGCAAATTACGGACCAGGCAATAAGTCCAGCAGCTATTCGTCAGCTATGGAAAGATCGGGTTCCAAAGGCCGGATCCCTTGTGAATCAAGTCACGAAAAGTTCAAGAATCGGCAACAGGCCATGGGCCTATTCCTTCAACGCCGACACTTAATTCTATTCTAATACTTACGGTGAGACGGAAGCCCGCACAGGCCAGCGACAGCGCGAGTACCACCAACGTCATCGTCAAGTTGACGTCGCTCGTTGCGTTCACTGGAAAAGATATGAGAAGCGTCCGTAGATTAGAGGTTTCGGAATTAGGTTCAGCTTAATTAAGGAGGAGCGGCAGTTTTGGCAAAGAGTTGGCCAAGTAGACGGGTTGTATGTAAAGTCCATCCGACGTGTGGACATGCATATTTTGCTGCAAAATGGCAGTCGCAACGAAGGAGTGGCGTTGAACAAAACACGTTCATTGAGCAGACACAGTATAGCTGCAGCTTGATCAGCACCAGGCGCCCAAAATTGAAGGTTAGGAGAGCAAAAGAGATTTCTCAGTATGGATCGTCTGATCTGATAATACTAGCCGACATTGCTAATACTTCAAATTTGACAAGCAACATCAAGTTAATTACTATAATAATATGCGTTTAAAAATTTGCTTCAATTGCTTCTTGTTGCTTTAAAAGTCAACAAGTTCTAAAGAGAGTCATGTCTCCGATGTTACACATGTAAAATGAATTTCTTACTTTATTTTACCTATTGAAAATTTTGATTTAAAAAATATTTTTTACAACACTCTTCTTTGACTTCACTTCTTGTTTGTTTGTTTGTTTGTCTGTTTGCTACAAATCTTATAATCAATATTTAACACACTTCTACCAGTCCAATCGATCTGAAATTTTGCACACTTGCGTAAAGTTGGAGACAATGCATGAATCAATTGACAGAATAAATAATTTTGAATATTAAAGAAAACTCTATTTATGATATTAAAAAAACGAAAAAAAAATAATTTTGTCTGATACATGCCTTATAATCAATATTTAACACACTTTTATCTGTCCAATCGATCTTAAATTTTGCACACTTACGTAAAGTTGGAGACAATGCATGAATCAATTGACGAAATATATAATTTTAAAANACAATGGCGGCGAGGACGACTTGCCTGCCGGGGCTGAGGGCGGCAGAACATAGAGGTGGCGCTTCTGCGTGGCCTGGGGCTGTTACGTCCGAAAAACATACTCTGGATTTACTATGAAAATTTGAATTTTTTCACATTCGTCGACTCTATTCAGATTTGAAGTTCCCAACCAAGATTGTAAATAATAAAAAAGTAAACAATTTTAATCTTAACAACTCGTATATCTCTTTTCAAACCATCTCATGAAATTTTGTATCCCTCCTTGAACGCAATAAACTTGATGAAAAATGTTGAACCGAACGGCAGGTTGCATGCGCTTGATGGTCTGGGGCTGGATTATAAAAATATCGCTACTCACCCACATAAATTTACGAAATGTGTAAGCAGTACGAATTTTGGCATCATCAAAAGTTACGTACGCAAGACTTATCTAAAATGGTTTTATCAGAACCATGGCTGAACAGCCCTGATATCTAGGCTCTCATACATCCTTTATTTATATCCTGAGTCCGATGTCTTCCATGCTTCAATGTTATGCGATCTCAAAAGTTTTAGCTGTTATAAACTATTTAAGACGCTTTTACTCCAAAATTTCGCCCATAAATAATGTATTTATGCATGGCTTAATTAATTATATATTATGTACAGCGCGAGTGAAATAATTAACATTGTCAACTACGAAGGAAGCTGTTTGATTAAATATGGAGTATATAGTGTCATGTGGTCTAGACTCTGACAAGTGGGCGAACTTTATATGAATGAATAATATTTTTGGTTGTCAATGGGAAAGCACTGCAGTTGACAGCTAGTAGCATAAATGAACTGGTATATGCTTATATACATATACCCTATCTCATATTTTTAGTGACAAATAACTTATTTTTTCAGCTTCATTCCATTTTATTTGCAATTTTTCTTCAATAAACAATATTTCATGATTGAGGAGTTTGGTTTCTGTGATAATGTATTTAAATTTACTGAATGGGCAAATAGTTCTCAGTTTTCTCGTTATGGATTTCTTCCACTACCGTCAATATCACCAACGTCGCCACAGCACCTAAGTCGCCGGCGTTCTAAAGAAGCGATCTATTTTGTAAACCAAACTGAACCACAAATTTCTGGCGCAGTTAGAACAGCTCTATATTTATTATGAGTTAATTTTATTATGTGCTTATAGTATTATATGGTTATAGTATTATAAGATTATAGTATTATAAGATTATAGTATTATATGATTATAGAGTTATATGATTAAGCATTTTATGGTTTACATGGATGAGCGGCGATTCAAGCGCAGCGGCTGCTCAGTGACGACTCATGTCATTGACTATACATTCATGACCGAGTTTGCTTTCCTCCTATTAGCCAGTCTCAATATGATTTCTCAGTAATTTTGCGTAAATATCAGGTCAAATAAAGCATTTAATTAGATATATACATTAAAATAATATAAACCATGTGTTTGAGTTATTAAAAAGTCCTAACGTGCGAAAATTTGACTTTGGCACCATCCCACTTGTCAAAAAGAAACTTAAATGGTAGATATTAATTTTTTTCTTACATGTGTCCAGCATCCAATGGAGTTTGGAGCAGCTCCATCCAAGATGTTTTAACAATCATCAATTCCATGAAGAAGCACGAGTCTACAACCACACATGAAAAATTGGGCCCAATAGTCAACAAAAAAGATTTTAAAATAATTTGGTTTTCGAAAAGCACCTAGCATTTGCAAATACAGTTTTGAAAAAATTTTCCTTCATTACCCTAATTTGGGAATTGTACACAAGTGACTATAAAGTGAAAGAAAACTAAATCGTCTAGCTCCACCAAATTAAAATCATTTCTTATTGAAAAATTTACGGAGACAAAACTTCATAAATGAATAACATATATTATTACTTACAAATTACAATTCACATTTTTCTCGATAAAAATTTTAGATTTTATATCAGTATGAAACCTAAAGGCTAGAGTATAAGTTGGAGGCAGTGAGTATGGAAGACATATATAGGAAAATTTTGAGCTGAAAAAACGGTTGGCTGGACAAGACCTTAATAATATTGCATCGAAAATGCGCATATGATTTTAGTGCATAATATAATACTCAAGAATTTAAAGATTAACATTTACTTGTAATATTTAACGCAATGAAAAATCAAGTAGACCCTGGCACAAACAAGATTGAAATTTATTCACTACTGTAATGGGTCGCCAAAACATAATTTGTTTAGGTATAAGGAGATCTTTCACAATTTGCCATTTTATTAATGACACGATAATTTTCCATCGATTCACCCTCTTGAAAGTATTTCGAAAATTAACTTCCACACCAANTATTGCTTAGTCGTAAAAAAGCTAGTATATCAACATTATTGCTTAGTCGTAAAAGAGCTAGTATAACAACACTATTTTGGTGAACTGGCTAGTGCGAAAAATGATCGTTGCAAGAATTTTGTCTTGTTTTTTTCTGAGAATATTTACGTAATACGTGCCTAGTCTTTAATAGTGGCGCTATATATAACGGATGCTACAGTTTCCTATTCTAGGGA